CCATATTACTTATGTCTCATTCCTTCTACCAGTGAAGTTCCAAGCTATCAATAAAAACTGTAGTGTCGGGACGCCCTAGTAGCTCATCTGGTAGAACTGGTGCCCTATGTACCAAGGCTGAGTCCTTGCTGCAGAGGCCATAGGTTTCAACCTTTTCCTGTGTGACATACTCACCCCTTTCCTGTCTACCCTCAGCTGTCTCTATCCATTAAAGGCATACAAAGCCAAAAAAAAGATATAAAAAGATTGAATCTTTGAGTTTTAGTTATTATTGTAACTTTTGTTACAAATGAGATTTGATAAGGGATTTTTATCAAAAAAATAAGACTGGATAAACAAATGTGTTAATGGGATGAGATTAGATAACGTCCTGTAGAATCCTGTCTGGGTGTGGCATATAGCATGTGAACCTCCCCTGAAAAACATTTAAAGACATTTTGGAAATGTAATGACCATTTTTTCTTTGGTCAAATTTCAAACTTGTAGAAAGCCTCTTACTGCTCTGCAGACAGTCGGCCAGCACATCCTGCTTCATTCTCCTCAGGAAGTTCAGTGTGATCTTCAGAAAAGCCTCTCTGCTCCTCCTTGTGTGCTCCTCCTCCTCCTCAGTATCGATCACATCCTCATCCTCCCTCTTTTTCTCCAAACATTTTGGGTCATCTGGACTCAGAACCCTTTTAAACTTCTTCAGCTCATTCTTCACAAAAGTGACAATGTTCTCTTCAAGCACCTGGGGGAACAACATTACACTCATTGTTGTATTGCACCTAACCCCTACCCTTCACCACGCAGGTAATGAGACCAGGTGCAGGTTATCTGAGGTAACCCAGCAAACGTGATTCTCTGACCTCACTGCAGGAGTGAGCCCTCTCTCTTTTTTGGGTGAGGTTCTTTCTGATATCTCTTTGGGTTTTTTATTTTAAGCATGTCTCCCAGCTGTTCTGGGAGTGACTAGGGTTGCCCAGGGTATAGCTGGAGGAAGTTTTTCAGTGGAAAAAGACTTAGGTCCTCCCCTCACCTAGTTGTCAACACGGCCCTAACCAGGATTCAAAAAATAATGAATTGATGGAAGATTAAATTTCAACTGACTGGTCTAACTGGTGTGGGTGTGGTATTCTTGTAAGCAGATTTGTTTTCATATTTAGCTGTAGTAAAATCCACTGTCATCTGTTTACCTACCATAAATATGGAGTCTAGGTCAGATTTGTGCGGTTGGGCAGAGTCATCAGTGGGATCCTCAGACCTCGTCTGGTCAGTTCTGTGGAGTACACATGGAGTAAAGCATGTAGTATGTTATGTATTCTAGCTCAATCTTACCCATGATCCATTCCTTACAGAATAATACACAGCATTAAACTACCTAGCCAACATGTATATTTTGGCCCCACATACAAATGCTGGCTGGGTACTAACACTGGGGCTGCTTTAGATCTTTATAAAAATAAGTTCAAATCCACTGATCGTATCCATAAAAGTATGCAACTTTACCACTAGATGGCACTAAAGCCTACACACTACACTACACACACCGTAAATGGGATAAGAGAACATCAGTGAATGCAGTATCAGTTTTATTATTCGTACTTCATTTCAGGAAAAGAGCATCCATCTTTGAATACAAGAGGAGGTTCTCTTGACTGGTCACTCTTCATGGACACACAGCTGGTTTCAGTGGACTCTTGTCTCTCTTCATGGATCCTGACAGACATAGAGGAACATCACCAGGACAGGAAATTAACATGGTTCATCCACAGGAGTGGCTGGATAACCAAGACAATATCCAACTAGAAAGTTAACAATGCCATATTACTTATGTCTCATTCCTAAAAAATAACTTAACTGCTGAACATGCTTTAATTATTTGTTTAAATGGGATATGCTCCCAATTTTGGCTCTATATATGATTAGCTCTTGTCCCTTCATGGTTAGATTCAGTGTAAGGTGCTTTGGACAAAAGTATCCTCTAAGTGAATGTAATGTAATGTAATGACACTTTTGGAGTTTAATAAAATCTGAAAATCTGAGTCATTGTACGATCATTTTAGAAGCCACTTTTAGGGTCTACTTTTTTGTTTACATATAAAGACTTGTTACAGTACTTGCTGCAAGATTTCAAGAATTAAGTCATAATACTTTAAGAAAAGTTCTAATGTTTTTGAAATAAAAACATGAAAAGAAAAGAAAGAATAACGAGTGTGAGACAAGTGTATCGTTACATCCTTATTTAATGTTATTAACATCTTACTTCATTTCAGGAGGACAGTGTCCATCTTTGAATATAAGAGGTGGATCCCTTGAGTGGTCACTTTCATAACTTTCATCGCTGGATGCACAGCGGGTTTCAGGGGTGTTTGGTCTCTCCTCATGGATCCTGCATATATAGACAGAGGTGAGAATGGACACAGTAGGTGCTCATCTGACAAAGTTCTGCTGAGGGCTTTGTCTAATGATTTTCTTTCACTTTTCCAGAGGGCTTGGAGCCATTATTAATGATGATATTAGTTACAACTGTGCTTTGGCTGTAATGGCAAGTCAACATGTCTGAAGAATCCTGCTGAAAACTATACGCATACTTAAAACTATTTTAACCCATTAATGTCCACAGCTAAGTAGCTATTCTGGATTCTTACAATACATATTCATTAAGAAAAATATTCTCTTTTGTTTTTCCATGGTCCAGTATTGCTATTGTGGAGAACATTTCATAACGCATTCCTGTGGGATAAAATGAGCAACCCCTAGTGACTAAGGACTAAATACTGTAAGATACAGAAGTGGCTGTATCTCAGAAACTATAAGGTGTTATATCAAATGCTTCCACTGGATTCAGAACAAACCAAATTTTCAAGAATATGTGCTCCAAACTTATTTTTGTGATCTTTTTTGCTTTTTTAAAAGAAAATCTATATTGTCTACCAATTAAAGCATAATGAATTAAGATATTCTCATGTGCATGACATGTTTTTTTGTTGTTGTTTTTTTAAGTTATTTTTTTGGCCTTTTCATGGCTTTATTGGATAGGACAGCTGTAGAGAGACAGGAAAGGTGGGTAGAGAGGGGGGATGAGCATCAAAGGGCCGGATTCAAACCCGGACCGCTGCAGCAACTCTGTATATGGGTCGCCAGCTCTACCAACTGAGCTAAGCGGGCGCCCCGTGCATGACATGTTTTGACAGTTTCTACAGCAAATTGAGTGTTTCCACCTCTGTGAGGCTCCTCCTTAACATACTTAATATACTGTAGTCCATAGTCATTAATGGGTTAAGCTTACTTTGTTTCAGGAGGACATACATGTGTATGTATGTAACCATACATCAATCTGGATCAATACATCGATATAAATCTTCAACGATCCAATATATTGGTACCAAGTGAAAACATCGATTTATATCGTCATCTTTATTTTGTGTGGAAATACATGCCATATGCAAACAATGGCATTATGAGATAAAACAAATGTCTGGAAGAATTCAGCAATAAAATTTCTAAATAATTTTTGCTTTTGCTTTTTTTAGTTGCCTTTTTAGATCGCAAGGCCCTGAATCATATCAGCATCATATGGCAGCAGACTCTGTGATATTATCCTAAGAATCTTTACAGTATCGTATCGTGATGAAACTGGTGATTTACACCCTTGATTGTCAGTAGTTTTGCACAATCTCTTGAGTGCTGGTTCATGGAACATTTGCGAGTGTCAATGTTTCAGTGGCCGACCGACTGACCACCCAACAGTGACCTACAGAGCCACGCTGTTAGTGTGGACAGGCACATTAAGCAAAGCATCATAAACAGTTAAATCAGTTAATTCAACAGGTAAGTAATGTAAAGTGTTGACTACAGTACCTGTCCATGTTGGAAATAACCTGCTGCCACCCAAACAACATAAAAAAAGAGGGACAGAGATCAGTGTCATCATACTAAACTGTACACATAATCAACCAATAATCTGCTGGTCTTATAGTGTAACACTTTCTATTCTCATATTGGAATACTTTTAAATAATCAATACACTCAAATAAGATCAAATTATTTACATGGATGAAGAAAGCTCTGATTAAATATTCACCAGTTATTAAATGTGAGGCTGATACTATATAAACAGACCAGTAAACAGGTCTTTAATGATTAGTTACACTTACTGAAGAGATTCCTGTAAACGTCCGTCACTCCAGCAGCTCACTTGTAGTCTGTATGGAGGAAGTCCTACACACACCATAGTCAGGAAATGAGTAGACATTGCTTAACTTTACCTGTGCTGTGTATGGCTACTGCCACGCTATCATACTGTGCTATCAAGGCATGCAGTCTGACTGGTCTAAACCTGCGAGTAGAAACCTGTGACCAAGGTAGAGCGGTGGAGCAGTTTCACTGAGAGTCTATTAAGGTACCTCTCTGTATATAATGTTGTCCAATTAAAGCCTGTATATGTATGTATGATTATTATAATTATGCTACACAGCATACAGAGGAACTTGATCACATATGACCCAGTTGTAGGGCTGTACAATTAATCGAAATATTATCAAAATCACAATATGGCCAAGTGCAATATGCAGATCACAGAAGCTGTAGTATGTTTTCATAAAGGTCAAATGTGACAAACAGCGTTATAATGAAGATTCGCTGGCCTAAAAATCTAATTAAAAAAAACATGTTTGTTTGTACAGAGCGCAACAAATTTGCCACCATAGTGATTTTTTGTAGTGCTTTTTTCAGTGAACATTAAATTTGTGATGCAACAATGATCATCCCCACACTAACCGTGAATCATATCCCAAGATATATGTCAAAATAATTGCAATATGATATCAAAAAGAAGGCCAAAGAAAAAAGAAAAAACATGGTAACAAGAGTGAAAATATAGCTTTATCTATGGACTAAAAGGATGGCTGAAGCTACACTGATTGGTTTATAGCTAAAGAACAAGCTGTTAACACATCATAGTGTTACTTTATCCCTCCACATGTAATTTTAGCATCTTGCATTGTTGTTGTTGTATTATGGTTTACTGTATATTGTAGGTACAGGAATCATTTTAGTTTTTGTTGTTTTTTATGTGTGTGGCCCTAACTTAAGTCAAGTCTCTCATCTAGGATAATAATAATAATAATAATTATAATAAGATAATAATAATAATAAAAGAGAATGAACACCTTACCCATGAAGGCATGTGCTCTTTTGAACGCCCTGGTAAACCCATGTACACTAATAAAGGAAAAACAAGCCTATTTTTTTTAAACAAAGAGCTTTGTCTGAGACAAACATCTCTCCCACTAGAGCCAGAAACACAGAGACCAGTTCAACTCAAATACCAACTTCAGTAGCCATCAACTGGCAACTAATGAAAGGGAACCAAGTGTTATAGCCAGTAGGTGGCAGTGTAACAGAAAATTAGTGAGTGAGTTGTACCAGTACTAGCTGGGAGAGCACAACTCATCAGCATATAATAACCCTTGTAAAAGGCTTTACATGCGCTAACTCTATTATTATGATTATAATTATTATTAT